CGTTTGACGTTTTGATCCCGAGTCATTTTGTTAGTCACTAGAAATAACCCAGGTTGCTTGGTTATCCATTTGTATGTCTCTTTTCACACCCACTCGATAGCAGTCCCGTGGTTTCACAAAATCGACATTTCAAATTCTGAAAAGGGACAAGTTTTAATGCAAGTATTTTGGTTATGGGTCAAGTGAGGGCGGTCTGGTTTCTTCTCCATTTTATTGCATTTTCTTGTACTTTCAATTGCTCAATGAATAGCCTGCTCATTTTTGCCCGTTTAGAAGCTATTGTTATTGAAAGTTGGGTAATTTTGAACCAAAAAATGTAAATAACTTTTCAAGTATTGATGGTAGCAATTTGCAGTCTTCTAAAAAGATATGTAATTTGATATTTCTAACATATTTGTACGACATGCCAGACATGTAGAAATATTGTAGAAAAAGTTACAGATACAAAACTGATTTTAACGATGCCTCCACAAAAAACCTTTATATCTCAGCAGTTATAAGAGCTAGAAAGTTATAGTTTTCAGCAAAGTTGTTCACAGTAATGTTCCCTACAGCTTTGCCTAGCAAAATTATTTTGTATCTTATTATATTGAAAAAATAAGTTTTGCATCTCACTTTTAGATGGATTAATCTTTAATTTTCTGTTACCATAAGAAGGAGTGTTGTAACCCAAGAAACTTCTCAGAAGACACCTAGTACCTTTAATCAACCATTTCAGCGTAAATAAAAAAGCGCGTGTTTTGATACCCTTGGAACCACTGTGCACCACTGGCGCCGCTTTTAGAGAATACTAAAAAAGGATCAACAAGCAACATGTTTCATATGACGGGAGAGGAAAAGCCGTCCAACCTAACTTACGTAGTGCATATAATAAAAATTGCTTTTGGATTGACTCTATTCGTTCTTCATGCTTTTTCATATAAGGTGACCAAACAACGCTACAACATTCTAATATTGATCTCACATAAGCAACGTAAAGTGATTTTATTGTATGAGGATCTTTAAAGTGGAGACCGAGACGTTTTATAAAATTAAGCATATTGCTTGCTCTTTGTATTATTGTGTTATAATTGTCCACAAATGTCAATTTAGAATCTAGAATAATACCTAAATCTCTTACATTTTCACATTTTTGAACATTTTCATTACCTAATGTAATACGAAGATTTTGTTTGTTTAGTTTCCTACTGTACGTTAAAATATTACGTTTTTTAATATTTAGTTTCAATAAACTTTTACTACACCATCTGTAAAAAACATGTATTTCAGCGATTAAGAAATTTGTACCACAAACAAAGTTTTTTTTTAAAGTCCTTCATGTTGACTTCTTTTCTTATGTTCTGGATTAGAAGAAAAAAAAATTGAGAAATTACAGTGTATCGATATTTAATCGATTGCATAATAAGATGTCTTCAGGCTCTACTAATTCTCCATGAGCCCAGGGATTTTTCTTTAACTTCTGGGAGCTTCGTTAAACTTCAAGGACTTCTAAGAAGTTTAGGCAACCTCGTAGAATATGAGGAAACTTAGTTGAGATTCTGAGAACTTCATAGATCTTTAGAAAAAAATCGCAGAAAAAGGTAGTTTGAAAAGTTCTGAAAACTGCGAACTGGAAAATTCGTAGAAGTTAAGGGAACATTATTTTATTTCAGGAAAGCTCATTAAGCTATTGATCGGGAACCTGTATATAATTTCAGGGAGCGTTTTTGAAGCCTTATAGACTTGGAATAGTTGTGGAATTACATACAAATGAAGTGTAGAAGTGCGGCAAACTTTATAGAAGTTTTGTGAATTTTGTAGTATTTTGAGGAGCTGCGCTAAACTTCATATAAGTATAAGGCATTTTGAAAAAGCTCAGGGAATTTTGTAGAAGATCTAAAAATAGTTCAATAAACTTCTAAAAACGAACAAGAATTCTCGCTTCAGTTTAGGAAACTTCGTTGCAGTTTGCCATAGATCTTACTTAAAAAAGCTCCATGAACTTCATGGACGTTTTGGGAACTTCGTTAAATTCCGAGGAACTTTCTAAATGTTCAAGACTATTTGTAGATGCCTTAAGTATCTTTTCAGAATTGTAAAGATGTTCAGAGATCGTCGTAGGATTAAGAGAGGTGGAAAAAATATGAAATTTGGAATTAATTGAGGGAACTTCGAAGAAATTTATTCTGTCTTCACTTTACCATGTTTCAATTCAGCCAGAATTTTAGAAAAAATATAAAATTCAAACTCCTAGCATTTAGTTTTGGTTCCTATGTAAGAAATTTAACTCATAATGAAATATTAAAAATAAAAAAATAAACTAGGTACAAAATTCATGGATTACCTGACTCTGAGAATTTTCTTGAGTTTGAGATGCTTAAATTTATGAGATCCAAACGCTATGTGATGTCACTACAAAAAGCATGAACAAACGATCATTGCTTGTTCAAAATCAGTAAGCTTTTAAGGCTCCCCCAATCAAGGTCCCAATCGTTGTTATGATATAAATGTAATCAAATTTATTGGTTCACGATTAAAGTGATAGTAAGCCTCAGTGTCATATTATTCGTCACAAAACAAATGTACCCAAAACAAGTTGTCTTAACGCAATTTGATTGAATAGCATCTTCGCGAGTTTTTATTTAACCGTAGTTCTGCAAAATAAAAAAAAATAAACAGCCCCCTCCCCCCCCCCCCCCCTAGGACCTTTTTTTTTTTTTTTTTTTATTGATTTATTTAATAAGGCTCAACCGAATTAACTTTACAGAGCCGAGGATTCTTGGTCACTATACAATACATCTTAAAACTATAGTCAAAAGGTACAACCCAATAAACACTTTATCTTCCGCTATCCAAAAAGCCTCCTCCATCAGAACTGGAGCCGCTTCCAGTGGTTTCATTGTATGGCAAATTGTTGTACGCCAACGAGGGTCAGAGCGCGTCCATTGCAGCAATGGACGCAAAACGAGAGCAGCACTCACACACTCATCACGAAACGGTTGCTTTCCAAAGTCGACGACGCATCGACCGAAAGAACTGCTGATGAAGAACAATGAGGAGGACCACACAATGGTTACTGCCGAGTAAACAGACGATCGCGTAGCACACATCGAGAGTGGCCTGCTTTTGTCGACAGCCAAGTGAACACTCCCCTAGGACCTCTCCAGATAAATTTTCTAGCCACGCCAATGGCTATTATTCGAGGACGAGGTAAACCACCACTTAGACCTTCATAAAAATCACATAAATGTACGTTATGGACTAAACCTCACTAAAAATGTCAAGTAATTTAGTATAATAGTTAAAAAGTTACAGCTGTTTATGTGTGTGCCATTTTTCACGGATACACCCTTTACGCTTACTCATGAAATGTATTTAATGCTAAAAATATAGACATTGCCCTCCGTTTTATCGAAGACAACAAATCAAGAAGACTGGCAACTCTTCCATTTTCTCATACGAATGCTATGTACAATCGCGTCATCTGGCGCTCAAAGGTAAATGCTTCGAACGAATTTGATAGCAAAGATTACATCCTCAGAAGAAGGGTTTGCGTAATTGCTTATTTTTCTATGCGTTGCTTCCACCTTCACTCAAGCGCAGCGCCATTGTATCTGTCGCTTGGATTCTGGAAAAGTTGCCAGTCTTCTTGATTTGTTGTCTTGGGTTTTATCCAAATTTCAAGTGAAATGTCCTCCTATTATTTTTTTATTTGGTAACCCTAGTTATGGGGTTTAATCAATACCATATGCATTTAAATGTAGGACGGCAATCATTCTGCAGAGAGCAATACGCATTTCCCTTCTCATAACAATGTACATCCTGTATTCGAGAGGAAAATCTGATCTGATTTCAAAACAACCGTCATGCGGTTACAGCTATCATTCGGAAAAGCAATTTCGATGTTTCGGTTTGAATGGTCTGAGGTTTCATTCGATCAGAGGATGATATTTGTGTACAGTGTGATCTCAAATTTTGGTTATTTAGAAATAACGTGTGCAGGAAGGTGGAAAAACTCGCTGAAGCAAATTCAAAGGGACAAAATCCAACTGGTCTTATTGCAAAGTTTGAAAAATCTTGAAGTAGACACAAGTGCGAACGATTTCTTCTTCAAATGATAACGCCCAAAAAGAAAAAAAAAGAATAAAATTATGTTTGTATATGCCGTATATATATATGCCGTATAAGATATCAACCATATTGATCGGATAAGCCATCTAGGAGAAAGCTTGCCTAGATGGTACGCGTCCACAGACACACATACTGACATCACCTAATTTCGCTTGCTGAGCCTATTTCAAGACCAACAATTGAAATGGCCTTAACTCCTTTTTGTAAACAAACCTTGTAAGGCCATTTTCTCGCGAATCGAAGTCCACAAAGACAAACTAACATAACGAACAGGTAGGGGAAATTCTCCTCTACCCGATTGTGGTTTAGGTTTGCAAATGAAGGTTTCGGTTCGCGAGAAAATGGCCTTACAAGGTTTGTTTACAAAATGGAGTTAAGGCCATTTCAATTTTTGGTCTTGATTTCTCATACTCGTAGAATCATCTACAATGTCATAATCAAACTGTCGAGTTAGAGCGAATAAAGTTCTATGTAGCTGGCTATATTGGTTGCAGAGAAAAATACGTGTTGAATCCAATTTTAAAACCATAGTTATACGGAACGCAAACAAAGGTAAAACCAAGCATACCCATGTCATGGTAAATTTCCGTACCGCACCACACACGGTCGTCAAAAGCCTGTTTGAAATTTTCATTCAATTCATTCTCTCCCCCCAATTATTGATTTCCATACTATATTCAAAAGTAGATTTTCATCCAAAATGTTACCCCACATGATCACCACGCACCAGATGACACCGCACTTGGGATGATAAATCATATTTGAATGCTCGAATTTTCCATTCTTTGGGAAGGGGATAGGGGGTTCAACCCGTACACCCCGGCACTGCGTCGCACTTCGGATTTCGATCGTTAATTAATGACCGTCCAATTTGTTTCCTTCATTTGCAGGCTAGACAAAGGGACGTCGACGGTTGCTCATTTTCCGTGCCACTGATTCTGCCGGCGCTTCAACGTCCAACGTCCAATCGCCCGTCGTTCCCATCCTGTGGAATCATTCGAAGCAGTACCGGTTCTGCTACCATCAACAATGACTACAGCAGCAGCAGCAGCAGCTTTAGCGCCGTTGGGGCCACCGTCTCCACCGCAGCCGCCGTCGCCGTCGCCGGTCGTAGTTTTGCGTTCTGTGAAGGTGCCCTCGTCCGTTGTTGTTGAACATCCCGCGGTGGGATCTCCGGCGGTGGTCCGGGTGTTGCATAAGGACACCGACACCCGAACAAGCGCGTCAACGCTGAAGACCTTATCCAACGATCTGAGTGAACTGCTGGTCAAGAATCTCAGCTTGAAGCGTAATAGTGAAACCTGTTGTGCAGCGGAAGACCCCTCGTCCCTGGCCAACAACGGCTGTGGTGCATTGAGTGAAATCGGCGGTGATAGCAATAGTGATAGTTTGAATTTGATCAACCGAAGCAGGCAAAATCGTAACTCGCTGTGCGATACGTTCAGTTCCGTGAATAAGCTGATTAAGCTGAAGCGTGTTTCTAGTGATAGCAGTAGCATTAGTGGTTATACGAAGATCCATTCCGGTGATGTGCCGTATCAGCATAGCATAAATCCGCCTCCGCAGGCTAAGTTCAAACGCGTTGAAATCAGTGTCCAGGAGCTCTCCGGCGAGTTGGTGAACCCTCGGAAGAGCATTATAGTGAATCAATTCGACCAATTGACACCTCATGAAAGTGAAAACGTGCCACTTTTGGTGAATAGAAAACGCGTGGAAGAAGAAGAAGGGGCACCAGAAGAGGAGAAAGTAGTGGAAAATTGTGATAGTTTGGGGGTTAAGGTTCGTCGAAGGATTCAGCACCCGCCGAGATCGGGTTGGGGTGTCGGATCCATCCTGGAGCCGGTAGAGGAAGAGCACTACAAGAGAAGAAGCTTGCAGTGGCCGTTGGGATTGGGTGGTTGGGGTGGTGAGGGAGTGACAGCCGCGGAGGAATCATCGGCGATTGACGAGGAGACGGCGGACGGTGTCGGCGAAGAACGGAGGAGGAAACCTCACTTTCGACACTCGTGGAACGCTCCGGGCTACGATTTGCTGCTGGAAGACGAGCGGGGTGTGGATTCGAGGAAGGTGAGTTTCGGAGGCGGGTGATTGTCACTTAGGGGTCTCAGATAGCCTAGTCAGGAAAGGCACGGTTTTACCAAGCCGGAGAAAGTCTTTCGCGTTGGAAATTTTCTCCACTTCCCTAGGCATAGAGTATAATTGTGCTTGCCACACAACATACAATTGGGTTGTTTAACTTCGAAAAATATACCGATTTTCATACATCATCTGATAGAGCTTCGTTTTCTGAGCACAACGATATTTTTATCGATCCCGTAGACATTCATCTCGATTTTTAGATGAAGATTTAAATTTTTGATTGTTGCCACTAAATCTATTCGTTGACAGCTCGTTCCCATACAAAGTTCCACCAAGGGGCGATAAGATGGTGATTTTTGCTGATGTAATCGAACTTATTTAAAATAGTTAAAATTGATGAAATTTAGGACCTTGGTTTACTTCAAAAAGGATTAAATTCAGTTCGGGTGGTCTGTCTAATCCCTAAAGCTGGATTTAGACAGGGCAAGTCAATTAATCATTTTGTTCGTCCATTTTCCACAGAGATGGCGCTGTTCCGCTGGTAGAAAGTGATAAAAATCCCCATATAGAAATTGAGAGAAGTGGGAATAATTCGCTTTCGGTGCATATTCCGGTGAAAAAAAGTGAACGACAACCTAAAGAAATTAATCAGGGACTTTTTCGTTCAGTCTTTTCCCGGTGTTTGTGCAACGTCATCTACATGTACAACTACCCTACCCACTGTAGCTACTATACAAACGAATACAAATAAACAATATATCAGTATCTTGAATACCTTCGCCATGGCAGGACGGTCAAGCAAACTGTGTGATTTATCAATTTCATCTCCGTACCTATCACAACGATCATAAACACAACGTAGGATCCCGCCCGTGCGCGATCACCCGGAAATTATTGTTAAACAAGTTACAATTAATTAAAAATGATTTTTACCTGCTTTACTACCAGTTCTCAGAGAGCCAAAAAATTCAAATTTGAGAGAGAGAATTTGCTCTCACGACCTGAATCTCTCAACATCCATGTATTTTGTTGATACTCGATTTGTGATTTCCCTTTCACAGATTATAAAATAGAGTATCTGTCACTACAAAACATGTCTGGTACCTCTATATATGGATTTACTTTAACATTGGAAATCCCTCCTTTTTTACAAATTCTGCGCAAAAGATAAGGAGTTGATCATTTGACTTGCCTAGTCTAAACCCAGCTTAATGCATTGATTTCTAAGCACCTAAAAGAATGTTCAAATGCCTGATGTAAGCTAGAGTCGGTGTATAATGAGTCACGCCAAGAGTGAAGCCAAGTCTTACTATCGAACTGTCAAACCAGCTACCTATCGTGCAAAGTAAACAAACATTACGATGCTATGAAAGGTCCACGAAAGGTATTGCAATAAAATATAAAATATGATCGAAGAAATAATCATATACACACAGTGAGCATTCAATTGTCATGGGATACGTTTGGTAATGATCAGTAATGAGAATTTCTACTATTTTTTGTTAAGATAATTTGAAAAAATCACTGTTATAATGATTTACTACAGCCGCTATTATTTTTTCTCGCTAGAAGTCATTTGAAGTTGATGTAGAAGTCCTCTCTTGCCAAGTTAAAAGAAAGGGAATCTTTCGAAAACCGTGATGCGAGTTCAACTGTTTTTCTCTTGGCGTGACTCATTATACACCGACTCTAATGTAAGCCAAGCAGACCTTCTATCACCTCTTGAAACATATCACAAATTTTCCACAATACATGGCGGTTTGCACCACTAGTTGTAATTGAAATTTTCAGCAGTCACGCGTCAAACGGAAGCAACACGGAAACATCAGTCTGGTACGCTTTGGACGTGTATAATACTTGCAGCTCGGTTTGAATGTGTGAGTTTAAATTAGAAGAACATTTTTGATGTATGGGTACCTAAAGCGTGCATTTCTCGCTGTGCACTTCGATATCTGATTGCAGAAAAAGATAATAATGGAGAAAGAGAGCGCAAAAGCTCGCACTCACTCTCTTGTCAGTTGTAAATCTCTCAATTACCGATGGTTGCGCTAGTGCGCCTGTCAAAACTTATGAGCTTCCCCTGGTTCATTCCGATAGTGTTGTTAAGGTTCAATTTACTTTGATGCATTTTCGAAAAAATCAAAAGCAGTTTTTTTCGACGCATTATTTCAGATTGCTTAAAGCTCGCGTCATTTTGTGTAGAATAGCAAAAGGAATCGAATAGTGCGAGCATTTTGCAATCTGAACTAATGCGTCGAAAAAAACTGCTCTTGAATTTTTCGAAAAAGCATCAAAGTAAATTGAACCTTAAGTTTTGCAATTCCTGCTACTTCGGTTAGCGCAAAAAGGGCCATACAAGTTTTGTTTACACAAGATGATAGGCCCTTTAAATGTTACGTTAAGTAGTGATTAATATAGTAATTGAGAATATGTCCCTCAAATTCATGGAGCATTGAAAAATAAAACAAAAACTAATATGTGGTGGTAAACAATAACGAACAAAGTTTGGTGCACAGTTAAACAAATGAGGAACGCGACGCCTCTGCAATGAGGAAAAGCTCCCTTACCATGTTTTATTTTCTAGGTCAGTCAGGCAATATAATTATTTTCTCCTAACATACATGAAGCCATTTCATAGCAGAATTTCGTAAAAATTGATAGTTTTGTTTCTTATCGTAAAATATTAGACCCGTATTTTTCCGCGTTAGGGTGGTCCAAAAAACCGTTTTTTTTTCTTCAAATATTACTTTTTTCAAATACCAAATGAAAGGTAATTAAAAATACTGTTAAGAAAAATATAATAATTTTAAAAATTGGGATTATGTCTTGAAAAACATTGATTGTATTTGTTTTTTTATGGTTTTCATGGTTAGTAGACAGAGGCTTTAGGATTTAGGATTTAGGCTTTTATACAACATATCAAAAAATCAGTAAGGTGCACACTTAGAAATACTTAATCTTACGCGTGACGGAATCCATCTTTGACATAAAGGATCAGACGTTAACAAACATGTCATGTAAAATTAAGTACTCCGAGACTGAAAAGTTCGAAAGTACATTTGATTGAGATGAATTTCGCGTCTTTTATGACTCAATTTTATGTCAACATTGACGCTCATATATGTCAGTCTCAGAGTACCTAAATTTACAGCAATTTTTTGAAGTGAGTGGTCTTTTTTCGTGTTTGAGTTATATTTTTTTGAAGTTATTAAGTTTTGGATTTTTTTCTCAATGCAAACTTTCAGAGAATAAATAAACACATATTAGGGTAGGTGTACCAGTTACGGCCATACGTTCCTATTATGGTGTGTTCCAGTTAAGGCCTATGGAATTCCCATAGGCCACAATTGGAACACACCATAATAGGAACGTATAGCCATAACTGGTACATCTACCCTAGCCATGTTTTTGCAAATTTGATTTATTCAACCTCGTCTCCTAGGCTAAATTCCCGCACCTTGGACATAACGCTACCCATGAAATCCTGTGCGACATCTTTCTTACACACTTTCATTCACTCTTTCTTCAAACCCTTGTCGTTTTTGAAGACCTTCCCTTTTGAAGATCGCCCAGAATTTTTCTATTGAGGGAAGTTCTGGCGAGTTTGGCAGATTTGCCTCCTTCGGCACACAAAGAACATCGTTGGCTTCGTACCACTACATCACCGGTTTCGCGTAATGGCAGGATGCGAGATCCGGCCAAAACAGAGTGACACCTTCGTGGGAGCGGAGGAAGGACAGGAGGTGCTTCTGGAGGCATTTTTCTTGATATATTTGGCCGTTGATGGTGCCGGTCTATGTACGGCTTGCTGAATTTGTCGAACCCACAGATCACCTGCCACACTAAGTAATTCTTGGCAAATTTGTCGACCTTCTTCTTCCGGATTTTCCCCGGAACAACCAGGCGGGACTTGCCGAAGAAAAACTCCAGGCCGGGGATCTGTTTGGCGTCCGCTTTAATGTACGTCTCGTAGTTCATTACGATGCATTTTGGCTGCACCAACCACTCCACAATGGGCAAAAATTGACAAAACCGCGACTAAATTGAATATCTCGGCTGCGCTTTGATCTCTTGATTCTGAACAACATAGAAAAAATCGAAAGGTTCTACGACAATTTTTATAATGTGGCCACTTTATCGGTCAGTCCAGATTATCCGGAGAACCAGAATATGGTCACTATACCCCAAAATATAGTTTCGATATTAAATACGCTTTGATCTCTTGATTCTGAACAACATAGAAAAAAATCACAAGAGTCTAGGACATTTTTTTATAATGTGGCCACTTTATCGGTCGTTCCGGATCCTCCCTAAGGCCAGTAGAGTTTCCCTGAGGGCGTATATGGTGTCACCATATATAGTTAGTACTATCAATTTCCAGTAATATAGGTTAAGTAAAGTGTAAAATTATGTCGATGGATAGTGGCATTTCCTACTTTACCGGGAACTCGGGTTGATCTCGGCCCTCTATCTCGGTACGCAAAAGTCTCCGGCCAATGAGACCACCACCGATCGAGAGTTTTTTCTTTAAGAATATGTATAAAATGTCGACTGGAACCGTTTGGCAGCCGAGATATTCAATTTAGCCGCGGTTTTGTCAATTGTTGCCCACTGTGCACTCGTGGTAAAGCTTCCTGGTGCGGGATTTGGCCACCGTATTCTGTTTATCGGTTCGGTTAGGCGCCTTCCCTACCTTGAAGACATGAAGTCCGGCCCGCTTCAATGTCTGCTAGACGAACCAGACGGAAGAATTAACCTTCTTGGCCACGTTCCGAATCGAAAGGTTCGGAATGCGCTTGAAGTAATCCCTCACCTTCCTGCGTTTACGGGGTCGGTGGTCTTCGCTTTTCTTCCGCTGCCAGTTCGTCGCTGGGTCGTCTGGGTCTCCTTGAACGATTTTACCACTCGGGACACGGTCAAATTGTCGATTCCGAACTGTTTCGCGATCCACCTGTGGGACTGGCATGGGTTTTCCACGACCGCTCCCA